CGCCGGCGGCCGAGGGTCTCCCCTCACGCTCTCCCCAGCAGGGTGCCCTGGCAGGGGACGGCTGGGCTGGGGCAGCAGAGCATCGGCCCCGATCCTATACCGGCCGCGGGGGTGTTTAAGGGAGAGAGGGAAGCTGAGTTGGAGCTCACGGCGTGTTAGGAGTGGGAGCATCCAGCTGGGCGTTGCTGGCCCTGCTGCTCAAGGAATAACATGCTTCTTGTTGCTGTCTTCTGTTGGAGGAGATAAACTGTAGCTGATTGGGTGACCAGCTGCGGAAGTCAAAAGATGCTTGTGTACTGATAGATTTAAGTCTGGTTTCAGGAATGCTTTGTGATAGGTATTTTAGGTAAAGGTGCAGCTTTTTCAGCTGACAGAAAAAGCTAGTGTCCTCTCCGTTATGTGAGCAGTTATAAAGTTCTGTACTATAGCTTATTTCTGTATAAGCATTACTATACTAGTATAAGCCTGTGTACAGTAAACAAGTGTATACAGTAGAAATAGGTTTTTTTCTTGATAGGAAATTCTAACAGTCTGCTTGTAAAGGTAGACTGCACATCCGTTATATTCCCTATCATTGTTTACTTTGGTAGAAGCAAATTATAAGTGCTTTTTTGCAGTTGTTAGACCATTTACCATGTTTTACCTACTTTTTCCAATACTTCATGTAAAACCCAGCTCTGGATGTGAACGTCTGAGTTTGACTTGTCAGCAGTGCTTTCACTACCAATTCTTAACGTTTTTGTTGTAGATTTTTTTGAAGAAAAAAAAACGTCTACTGTAATTGTTAATAACAGCCACCTCTGTGTTTGTGGTTTACAATATAACCTCCTTATATGCCACATACTCTACAGCTTAAAAAGCTTTGGATTAGAAGATGGTGGCATGCAATTATAAATTGATCTTGTCCCTTGGAGGTAAATAGTATGCTATTGCCTGGATAGTATATGGACCTTTCTAAGGTTGCCCACCAATGTGATATACACAGACTAAAGGGAAGTGGTGACAGGAAAAGGTAAGTGGTTTGTTTACTGTTGTGTAGTTGCTGTTGCAGAGCTGATGTTTTATGCTGGGGATAGAGTGCGGGAACTCTCTGGTAGTCCCTAAACAAAAAGGTACTGGAGGGAAGGGGAGTGGAACTTCCTACACATGGAAAATGATAGTATTCTGAGTATCGGATCCCTTTAAAAGGGTTTTGAAATAAATACTCCAGCTTCTAACTTTGGAAAGAAAGTAGATCTATGTATTGCACTAAGTTACAAGGCACAGAATGTGTATGAAAAAGTGAAAAAGTTACCCTTGGGGAACAGCAGATGGGTATTTTACCTTTGGTCCTATGTAATTCCAGAAACCCACGTTACTATCTCGTGCATATAGTTAGTGTTGAGGTTAATCAGTTGCCACCAGTGTGGCAGCATAACGCGTTAGGAAGAGTTCAGTTTTATGGTAATCTAAACTTCTAAAGTAGAGTTATTTAGGTTTTTGTTAATTAGCATATAGTGATGCTACAATGTTTGTACGACAGCTGTTTGGCTTATCTTGTTCTTAAATGTCTGCTTGAGAGAAAGAGGTCATGTCAAGCATTAAAAATAACTGTGCTTAGCAATGACTGATTTTATGTTATGCTTTTGCTAGTGATTGAATAAGCTGAAATTGTAGCCAGAAGTGAGGCCCTTTTCAGCCACTGCTTTTAGTCTTGATGAGAAAATTATGAGCTCTTCAGGGCAGAAAGTGATGCAGTATTAATGATGGTTAGCAGTGCAGAACTTTGAGTAATAGATGAGGCAAAAAACTTTAGAATTGAGCTACAGTATGGAAATACTGTTCTTATTCAAAAACTATTCTTGGATATCTCTAATGCTAGGGGGAAGAGGCTTCCTTGGTGCTTGAGGCTTTTCTGAAATAAAAACAAAAACACAAATCTTAATAGATTCACTCTAGATTTGAATGTGCAAAAATATTGTCTTTAAACTTTCTAGATGTCATCTTTAATGTACAGTGTTTCATGTTGCCATACAAAACTAGATCTTTTTGCTGCCTGTCATCTATTTTGTCCTCCACAAAAACATGATGATATGAGGAAAATCAAAACTGTTTCCGTGTAACGAAGGCATAGAAACAGGAACACGAAAGCTAGTAACTTTCTACATAATTTTAACTACCACTGACATGGTTCGGTCATTCGTTTCATTACTTTTTTTTTTTTTAACCTCAGGGCATCGTATTGATACGTTGTACTGCTGCTCAGAGCTTAGAACAGTCCCAAAGAACTGACTGTGAGAATTATTGATTTCAACTGATTTCCTGTCTCTTACTGGCAAATGTAATACTGAGTGCAAGAGATCTCCCTTCCTACAGTCAGTTATGTCTGTAATGAAAGAAAAAAAATACTTTACATATGTGATCTCTTGATGATTCCTCAGATTGTGGAACAAAGTAACAGATATTTTTCTTCACTGGTAAAGTTAGGGACCTTTGATGTGTCAGCAGAGCTCAACATTTCTAAACTTTCTTTATTGCAGGAGTCCAAATTTAAAGAAACTGGAGTAATTACACCTGAAGAGGTAAGTATTTGGAACCTTAGAAATATATTCAGAAAGTATGGAAGTAATGGAAACTTTTACTCAAAAAAGCCATGTTCATTTCAAGCAGTTCATGCCTTTGTCAACTAATTATTGCTTCTTGAAGCAATAATTTCTACAAAGTGGAAGTTCTCAATGACCCTTTTACTCTACAGGGGAAGTAATTCAAATAGTTCAACACCAGAATTCCTCGAGATGACACTTTGCATCTGAATATGAGATGCCTGGTGTGGGTGTCCTCCCCCTCCTCCGCCCCCATTATTGTGTTCTGAAATACAAGTAAGGAAGCTCATGCTGAGTCAACAGCTCAGTTTGTCATGGGAGTTAAGGACTAGACCAGGAATGCAGATATGTGTTGATTTCAAAAGCCCCTCCCATAAACAATGTAGAGGAAAACTTGTACCTCGCATGTCT